AAGAGTCCATATGTATAGCTAAAGGCTATATAACAAGAAACAATGCCAGACGGGAGATACCTTCCTTTGAGTTATTGGCCAGGGTGGCCCAAAAGACTCCCAGACAGTAACCCAGCATAAAACTGGGAAAATGAACAGCAGACCCCAATCTTATCTAAAGGAATATTGACAACTGATTGCTGCTAGATGAGGAATAGCTGATCTTCCTAAAACAAGGATCTCTAGATGGCTGACTAGATTCAGCAGATGAACAGCACTGGGGAATGGCTGGGGGCACTGACAACACAGTGGACAGTAACAGGGATGACAGAGTATATGGGCTCCGGTGGGGGGGGCTATGGGAGAGTGCCATTTGGGAAGTGGGTATATAGACAAATAAGATTGTGTGGGATGTTCTGTATAATATACATACAAAAAAATCAACAAATTAAAAAGAAAAGACATATTTGAAGAGGAAGCATAAAAATTTACTTCATGTTAATTAGTAGAGGTGATAAATATTAGCATTGAAATCTACCTGACTATCCATACACAGGTGCCAAGGATCTGAGTTTAAATGACCGTGCCTAGTAATAATAGATACATAGAGATTAAAGACACATGTGCAAACATCTAAGCATTAGTAGCATTAAAAATGTAGGAAACAGTATATTTTAAAATGAAATGGAGATATTCTTTATAGGTTAAAAACTCATTCAATTTTATGTCCTACAGGGTTAAAAAAAAAAAAAAAAAGATACATAATGTGCCAGGCATGGTAGCACACACCTTTAATCTCAGCACTTGGGAGGCAGAGGCAAGCATATCTCTGTGAGTTTGAGTTCAAGGCCAGCCTGGTCTACATAATGAGTTCCAGGCCCGCTAGGGCTACAGGGAGACCCTGTCTCAAAAAGACCAAAACAACAACAAAAAAAAACATAATAACATCATAAAAGGTAATCTAGTAACCTAGAGTCAATATTAAACCACTTAAACACTCAAAAGAGGGAGAAAGGCCTGTCTCAAAACAAAACAAAAACCAAGGGGCTTGCTGCCAGGCCTGAGGATCTGAGTTTAATCCCTGGGACCCACATGGTAGAGGGAGAGAACTGACTCCTACAAGCTGTTCTCTGACCTCCACATGGATACTGCGACATACTCACCCATGTATACACACACACACACACACACACACACACACACACACACACTAAATCAATATTTTTTTTAAAAATAGAGGAGGTCACCAAAGAATCAGTAGACCCAATGATGTTCATTAAAATACTTTTTTATTTAAAACATAAGTTTAGCATAAAAGCAGTTTCAAACATCCATTTGTAATAAGAATTAGTTAAGACACTGGAGTGTTCTTTCCTTCTGTATATACCAATGGTAACAGATTTCCATTCTTGATTACCTCAGAAAAAAGTAAGTGGAAATCCCAGGCCATTTGCATCAGCACAGAGGTCCTAATGATGCCTAGGATGACAGTCCTCTGGGTCTTCTGCAAGAGCTTCAGGTGAGAACCACTGAAGCTCAACCAAAAAGAAAATGTCAGGCTTAGTTCAGCAGACATGGGGGCCACTGCAGGCTCTCAAGCAAGACAATAAATAGCCTGTTGAAGTTCAGGTTTACAGAACAGGAGCAGGGAAGGCCCTCACAGCAGAGAGTGGAGGACCTTGCTGCCTGGCACAGGTTTTCCAGGTGTGAAAGGAACTTGGATCTCAGCTCAGGTCACAGGGCCAGCCCTACACTACAGCACCTGAAGGGAAGAAACACAAGAACTGCATCCAAGGCCGACACGGAATGGAGGAGGAAGGACTTACCTGCTCTTTGTTTGCAAGAGTCATTTTCAATTAAGACTCTGTTTAATCTGTCCCAATGTCCAAATTACAGAGGGATTTTTCTCTGATTTAGATGCTTTGAATTCATTCTTTTGTGGGAAGAGAGAAGTAGAGAAAATGGCAAGATCCCAAGTCCTACCTTTTCACGGGTGGGGGGTGAGGGGAAGGGGTGTCCTGAGAGAGCACTGAGACTCTGAGACTATCAGCTGATAGAAAAGCTTCCCAATCCCCTCTTGCTTTTTAGTTTCCAACTAAGCTTTTAATAATATACTGTGGTAGAGGTTACCATATTTCAAATTATCCCCTGTATTTAATAAAAGATCATGTGAAATGCATATTCTCAAATGTGACCCTTCCTGGACTCCTGTGAGGTGACTGGCCACACCCCTGTGTGGCTGTTTTCCTTGAGGCCCCTCACCTTGGTGGCCCACTCACCCCATCATTCTGAAACCTGTTCTGTCCTAGCATGCCTAGGCCTGCTCAAAGGTCCGATGGCTCTATATGGTCCTCCTCTTTGTGCTTTCTTGGTCAGGATCTTGGCCACAGCACAAAGCTTACCTATTGTGATGATGCTGCCCAGGGTTCTGAGTCTCTGTCACACATTGGAAACACTTGAGAGCTAATGACTCTGGTTTAAGTGGTCTGGAATGAGGCCCAGCTGTCAGGATGATTAAAACTTCCTAATGCAGCAAAATGAAAGTCAGTTTTTAAAAAAATTTTATTCTTTTTATTTTATGTGTATGAGTGTATTGCTTTCATATGTGTAAGTGCATCCATGTTGTCAAAAGAAGAGAGTACTGCATTCCCCTGGAACTGGAGTCATGGATGGTTGTTAGCCACCATCCGGGTACTGGGAATTGAACCTGGGTCCTCTGCAAGAGCAGCCAGTGCTCTTTAGCCATTGAACTATCTCTCCAGTGTCTCACCACTTCTTAAGCTTAACCTGTCTTCTAAGGAGAAGATACAAAGAGATTGCCCAAGTACTCACTGAGGACGACTGGGAGATGTCCGTGTGGCTTGTGGGACTGGAGTTGCTGCTCTATTGCTTGGCAGATGAGAATCATCTCTGCTGGTGTTCTGCCCTGAACCCGGATGAAGGGAGAAGTCAGGCCACTAGGAACCACAGTGCTTCCTTCTTCAGGACACTTCAGGTCTGCCCTGGCCTCTCTTCTCCCTCAAACTTAGGGGTCCTGCCAGTCCACTACTTCCTGTCACAGGATTCTGAAGTGGTTTCAGTCACTTAAAAACCCTTTAGTTAGCAGAAGCATGGAGGATGTATTTAAAGCCCAAGAAAAATGATCACATGTGAAAATGTTCAGGAGTTGTGTGTTGAGATGAGCAAGGATTTTTTGGAAGCAGCCCCAAAGACACAGGAAACAGCAATAAAACTAGACAAATGGGGTAGCGTCGATCTACAGAGCTTCTGTAGAATAAAGAAGGGGACACAGCAGAATGAAGGGGACACAGCAGAATGAAGAGAAGTCAACAAAACAGGAGAAAATGCTTGCAACACGTGCATTTAGCAAAGTATTATTATCTAGAACAGAGAAGGAATGCAAACAATTCAATAGCAAAACAGTTCATACCAATTTTAAAACGGGCACTAGGGGCTAGAGAAATGGCTCAGTGGTTAAGAGCCCTGGCTGCTCTTGCAGAGGACCAGGGTTGAATTCCTAACACCCACATCACAGCTCACAACCATCTGTAACTCCAGTGCCAGGGGATCCAACACTATCTTCTGGCCTCCACAGGCATGTTGTACACTTACATACATGCAGGCAGAATACTCATACACATAAAAATAAACAAATCTTTAAAAAAATGGGCACTAAACCTACAAAGACGTTCCTCAAAAGAAGACACACAGAATCAACAGGTGCATGAAGGTTGTTCAACATCAGTAATTGTCAAGAAGATTAAAATCAAAGCCACAGTGAGTTGTCACCTCACCGCGGTTAGAATGGCTGCTAGTGAAAGATACACAATCATAAGGGTATGGAAAAAAGGGACCCCTGTTATACATGGCTGGTGGGAATATAATTTAATATTTAGTATTATGGAAACAGTATATAGAGTCCCCCCAAATTAGAAATAGAAATACCATATGATCCAAGAATCTCACATGGTGTCCCACAAATATTTTCAACTTTATGTGTCAAAATAAAGATATATTTTTAAGTTTTATGTATTTTACAAGCCCATATATATATATATATATATATAAAATGTGTACATATATGTGTGTCATGTGTGTGGATGCCTACAAAGGCCAGAAGAGGGCATTGATGCCCTGGAGCTGGAGTTACAGGCATTTGTGAGCCACCCAATGTGAGTGGGTGCTGGGAGCTGAATTCAGATCCTCTGGAAGATCAGGAAGTGCTCTTAACCTCTGAGTCATCTTTCAAACCCCTAAAAAGATCTTTAAATTGTTTTTGTTGTTGTTATTGTTGTTTTTGTTTTATTGAGACAGGGAAACACCATGTAGACCATGCTGGCCTCGAGCTCATAGAGTTCTACCTGCCTCGGCCTCCCAAGTGCTGGAATTAAAGGCATGTGTCACCTTAATTTTTGATTGGCACCTCCTTCTTCAACCTTTGTGAACTATGGATCAAAAGAAAGCAACTGACTACAAAATAAATCAAATTATTCAAACACTGTGCAGTCTAACCCTGTACAAAAACAACTCAAGAGTCCCATAAAGAAGCAGCCCCAGGGGCTGGGAAGAGGGCTCAGCAGTTAAGAGCCTTCATTGCTCTCACAGAGGACCTGAGGTCATTACCCAGCACCCATGTGGGATGGCTCACAATAGCATGTAACTACAGCTCCGAGGGATCTGCTGCCCTCTTCTGATCTCCACAGACACCTGCACACATGTGCACACATCCCCTGACACACACAGAGACACATAATTTTAAAATAATAAAGTTAAATCTTAAACAGGAGATTCTGACACAATTAAGTGTGAGGACACTGGGCAACCAGATTGTAGAGTCTTTGCAGGCAAACACTGATGATATCTTACAAATGGTCAACTTAATGCAACCCAGTGGAATTCATAGTAATTCAGAGGCTTGCATATAGGGATTTTTTTCTCCTTTGTATTGGAAAAAGGTAGAAATCTTTTTGAAAAAATCAGCTCAGCTGTTAATATATTGTGTTCTATTGTGTTTTTTACAGGCAGCTTCAAAAGATGGTCCATGATATCAAGAACAATGAAGGTGGGATAATGAACAAAATCAAAAAGTAAGTTAGACTCTACTGTTTCTACACTAGCCAGTCTGTGCTAAGTGGTATGCCATCCTTTCTTACTGGTGGCCGGAAGCCACTGTGGTTAGGTCCACGTTCTGGAAAGGTGAGTGGGGTAGTATTCAGGGAACTAGGATTTTCCTTCCCACTGAAAAGAGGTGAGCTGTGCCCACGCAAGTACCCAGTGGAGACAGCCCTCGCTTCTTTGGTTCCGACGTTTGTCTGTGCACTGAAGCGGGTACTCCTCACTTCCTATGTGATGACACATCTCTACATTTTGATTTATACTTTTTCAAAATCATGTTCTCGATGAGTACTTGGACACAGAAAGCTAGATTCTTGGATTTTCCTGTTGACCAGACCCTTAAGCTATTTAAAAAGGAAACTGAAATGAGGCTGAGTGTGGTGGCATACACTTGAAATCTCAAGTACTTGAGATTATAACTGTTTTACAGGCTTGCTTAGCACATGTAGTATCTTGTATCCAATCCCTAGTAACACACACACACACACACACACACACACACACACACACATACACACACACTACACAAAAATTATGCATGTTTGCATTTGCCATTCAAAAAACTAAGTCAAGATGAAAAGATAAATAGTATTGTGTTTTTAAATTCACATTCGCATTAATGCAGTACAGATTCACCATGGGAATGGAAATCAAACAATTTAGAATTATCCGTCATAATCGCCTACTCCCTCATATCACCACCCTAATCCACTTCCAGAAACAGGCATCATCCTATGTGAGCTTGGCATTCATGCCTATGTGTATATGCTGACTCACACACACATGCACCATCACTGTGCATACCTTGGACATTTTCCTCATGAGAGGCATCATTCTATTCAACCATCTCTACCAGCTTGTGTTGTTGGCTTTATGCATTGCTGTAGTATGGACGTCTTTATCAGTATGGAAAAATAAACCAGATTCTTTTTTCAAGTGCTGATTAGTAGTCTACTATGAGTGCACTGTAAACAAACCATTTATATAGTGGAGGGCATTTTAAAGAGCAGGGTATGAGTTTCACCTGGTACACCAGTGATTTTTCATGTCAATCAAATTTCTCTGACCATTTCTCTCCACTTAACTGTCACAGACAATACTTCAATAAGCATCTTTTCTCAAATTTTAAGTACTCTAGTTAAATTCCTAAAATAAAATTACTGATGGAAATTAATTTTTGCCACTATTACCAAATTGCCAAATTGCCAAAATTTTATGGCAACAGCAGCATGTAAAGCTCATTTTTTTGTGCCTATAGAACAGTGTATTCATTCTTTTTTGATTTTTCCAAACTTAAAAGTGAGATCACTTTTGGTAGTCTTTAGATCCTGACATGAGAATGAGTCTCAGCAGGCACAGCTATCATCAGGCAGTGGCCTGGGCCTCTGTGAGGGGACAGGGGGCAGAGGAAGCCAGTCTGTCTCTAGGTTCTGTCCAGGGACTGGAAGTATGTGATCAGATCTATTTATTATTTCTGCTGTGGAATCTTTTGTTTGTTTTAGTGAACCAAAGAGTTTTATTGGGATTACTTATAAGAATATGGGTGCAGGGTTACTTACAAAAGCAGAAATGATCAGACAGCTGCCTCACCAAAAGCCCACCCCAGAACAGATGATAAGTCATCAAAGCAGGAAGCCTGAAGCTTATTGCACAGCCTGCAGGAGCCTTCCAGGAAGAGCACTCAGTCTGAGCCTGTCCCAGGCAGCTTGGCTGGTCTCTGCCTCTTCCACGTAGTTCAGCTAGTCTGAGACTCTTCTAGACAGCTCAAGTTTGTCTAAGTTTATCTCAACAGTATATATGCTCAGAGAAGGAGGGGCCTGGTGAATCTTGTCAGTCTCAGGGACTTCCTGGAGCTTTTGAGTTGTTGACTTCCTGAGCTTAAGGAGCTTGTCTGCAGGATGGAATGTTTTTACCTCCCATTAGAACATCCTGTTCCTTACCTCCCTTTAGAGCATCCTGCTGTTTGTCCGGCTTCCTTTCAAGATGGAAGGTTTTGTCTCTGAGGGAATTACTACATAACATAGTCTTTGAAAAATATTTATTATTTTTATTTTATGTGTATGAATATACTGCCTGCATGTATGTAAGTACACCTGTGTCATGCAGTGCCTATGGAGTGAGAAGAGGGCTTGATTGGGAACTGGAGTTACGGATGGTTATTAGCTTCCATTTGGTTGCTGGGATACAAACCCACGTCCTGTGCAAGAGCTCAGTGATCTTAACCACTGAGCCATCTCTCCAGCCCCTAGAGTACTTTCCTTGACAAGCCAGATTTCTTCTCAACCTAGACAATGTGCCATTACCATAGACGTCAAGGGCTCCTTGCCTTAAAGTGACTTGTAGTAGAGTTCCCACTTGAAGTCAGAAAACATGTTCTCCCCTGAGAGGAGGAAGTATGGTTGAGCACACTGGTTCCTCTGTCACAAGACTGTCATAGAGTTTTCACAGGCTATGGCCACATGAGTGATGGTCTTTGAAGTGGTTAGGGTTGGTGTGTAGCTGCCAGCTACTTGCTAAGTTCAAAATATACCTTTTCTTCCTGCTGTCTGTTGTCAGTGCTCTCTCTCTCTCTCTCTCTCTCTCTCTCTCTCTCTCTCTCGTGTGGTATATGCATGAGTTCGTGTGGCTGGAGTCAGTGACATTCTCTTTCTCTCTTATGTGTGTGTGTGGAGTCTGTACATGTTAGGGTGGGTGTGTATATGTATGCATGTGAGTGCATGTGCATATGTGTACATGTGTGTGTGAAGGCTAGAGGTCAGTGTTCCTCTATCACTCTCCATCTTAGTTTTTGAGACAGGATCTCTCACTGAACTGGGAACTCACCAGTTTGGCCTCTGAGCTCCCAGGATCTTCCTATCTCCACCCACCAGCATTAGGATTATAGTGAGCACCACCATGCCAGCTTTGATGTGGGTATCGGGGATCCAGATTCAGGTCTTCAGGCTTGTGCAGTAGGCACTTTACTGATGGAGCCATCTCTCCAGCCCCAAGGCCATTCCTTAATTTGTCCTTGATTACAAGATGATTTGGGCTGTTAAAAAGTCTTTCTTGGACTAGAGAGATGGCTCAGTGGTTAAGAGCACTGGCTGCTTTTGCAGAGGACATGGATTCAGTTTCTAACACCCTAACAACTGTCCGTAAATCCACTTCCAGGGGATTCAATGCCCTCTTCTAACCTCCACAGGCATTGCACTTATATATATGCAGGCAATACACTCATACACATAAATTTTTTTAAAAATCTTTTCTTTTCTTTATGAATTGATGAAGGTAGTGGCTAAGTAGTGTTTTGAAATTTTACTATTCCATGAACCAGTCTAGACATCAGACTCCATTTCATTTTTGTTTCTTTTCCCTATAATTCCTTTGATTATCTCTTTCCAGACTTCACCATAAAATTTATAACCAGTTTATTCTGATAAGAAATGTTATCTTGTGATAAGAGTTGGTCTTCTTTAAGGGAGTGATGCTAGATAGGCAGACCAGGCTCCAGTGGATGAACTCACACCAAGGAACATCTGTGGACACAAACTTGACTCTCAGTAAGCCTTAACATATATGGCAGAATGCATGAAATCCAGCTGGGGTGGGTTATGAAAGGCAGATGCAGGAGGAGATCTAAATATGATTAAGATGTATTGTATGACATGCACAAAAATTCAACAAAAATAGTTTAAAAAGAATTGGATAGAATAATAGATATGTGAGCCTATAGTCGAAAAAGATAATTTCTGTACAAATACACATTAATATTACTACAATTTAGAATTCTGGTTTGTAAAGGTTTTTAATCTGTGTTCTAAAATAAAATATTAACTCCTATGTTATTTTTATAAAGAAATAAAATTTTACATATACTTATTGCTTTATATACTACTTCCATATAAGAATATAATTTTTAGTAAGTAAAGGCTACTGGTTATAAATTTTATTACATGTACTTTAAATTTCATTAAGGAAATCATTCTTAAGTAAAACTACTAATTATTATCAAAGTAATAATTTATTATAAACCTTCCATCTTACTTATACAGTGCTTACTTATTGATCATAGTTTTTGTTTTGTTTTTTCTGGTAGGGATTGAACCTAGGGCTTCATGTGCTAGGCAAGCACTCTATCACTAAGCTGCAGCCCAGGCCCGCTTGTTATGTTTTTAAACAATGTAAAATAATTTCAGTTCAGCTTATGTGCAAAGTGCTTTTTACTGCTAATTTTGTCCTGTTTTTATAAAAGCATTTGTGAACCCTTAAGATACATTTCACCTTCTTCACCTTCTCTTACCTTCCTATCAGCCAGTGAACATTGATCTTCCTTGAACCATTGAATACTGTGTTAACTGGTCTTTGGACCTCACAGAATATTTTTAACAGATCAACATCACCTTGCACAAATAGGCATGTGCACTGGGGAGGAGAACACTGGCTTTATTAGATTTACAACAAATAAATCTCTCAATGTAATGGTCCAGAGAGACCCCAATTCTAGTAGTTATCTATCTCTTATCTCTATGTTGGCTTATGAGTGCTGGCCACAGCTGTCCTGCCCGCTGACCCTTACTGGTTCTTATCCACAGGCTGAAAGTCAAAGCACCTCCAAGTGTTCCTCGAAGGGACTACGCTTTAGGTAAGAGAATTTCTAAAATTAGCTGACTTTTAACTAATGCTGATATTTATTTTTGGGAAGGGAAATATATTGTACTCATAAGCAAAAGATGCCTACCCTGATTTTTAAGGATGAGATCTTTGACTACAACTGAAATGCACTAACTTCATCCATTCATCCATCCACCCATCAACCATCCATCCGTCTATCACTCATCCATCCTCCATCCATCTATCTACCTACCCATCCATCTTCTATCCACCCATCCAGCCAGCCAGCTAGCCAGCCTCCATACACCATCCATCCATCCGCCCATTCATCCACCCATCAACCATCCGTCTATCCAACCATCCATCCATCTTCCATCCATCTGTGTAACCACCATCCATTTATCCCCAATCCATCTTCTATCCACCCATCCATCCATGCAACATGTTTATGCAGCTATTTGTCAAGCATATTCCATGTGCCACACATTTATAAGGCATTAAGTAGAAGTGCCATACTTAGAAGTGAGATATAATTTCCACAGTCACAGAATTGAGAGTCTCAAAGAGAAGACAGAGGATATTAGAAATATCTACAATTCCATGTGATAGGTGAAGTGCAGAGTCCTGTGTAACACACAGCAGTGGGACTTAATCTCTCCTGAGGTAGGGGATGTGGGAAGGGGAAGGTTTTCTTCATAAAAGGCTATTTAAGGAGCTGAGGAGATGGCTCAGTTGAGAAAGTTCTTGTTGTGCAAGCATGAGGACCCAAGTTGTCATGCAAGAATGATCCTCGGAAACTATGTAAAAAGCTAGGCATGGTGGCATGCACTTGTAATCCAAGCACTAGAGAGATAAAGACAGGCCAATTCCTGGAACTCACTGGCCAGTCAGTCTAGCTTAATTATCCTTATTGTGAGCCCCAAGTCTTAGTGAGAGACCTGCTCTCAAAGAAACAAGGTGGACAGCTCCCAATGAATAACACCTGAGGTTGACCTCTGAACTCACATGCACACACACACACACACACACACACACACACACACACCCCTACCCCATCATCCATGCACACACACACACACACCTACCCCATCATCCATACACACACACACACACACACACACACACACACACATACACACACACACACACACACACAGATGTTTAAATGCAGACTTGAGGGCTATTGAAGGGTTGAAGAACCAACTATTGACAACATATTTATTAGTGGACCTTCTCTGAGTTTAGCCCACAACCCCATTCCAACTAGAATCAACTTTGATTGCAGGACTAATCTTGAGATTGTTCCAACTAGAATTAACTTTGATTGCAGATTCAAAGGACTTAGGACTGGTCTTAAGATTGGAAATCTTTATAACAGTGAGCAAATAAAATACCAACAACATTTCTTTGTCTAGAATAGATAGGAAGCTAAGTCTAAAATACCTTTGTATACCATAAAGTATAGAGATTTCCTGAACATAGACAACCCTATATAGCCTTCAGTGAGAAACAGGGGGCTTTGAGTCTTTTCCCTCAGGGCAAGAGCCAAAGCTAAATCATGACCTTCAGTGATCATTACTATTTTTATTTTGTTATTTTATTCCATCACTGGTCAAGATAACAATAAATTAGATAGTTGAGTCCTTTCCTAGGCATGGTGGGATATTATCACACTGAGAAGTGTTGACCAACATATCTAATAGTCACTGACTCATCCTGCCACTTTCTCTGACTCACCTGGGCACAGAGTAATCACTAACATCACATTGCCAACTAGTCATAAATTCAGACAGATGGTCAAGGGATTTCTGTACGGTATGGAACTAAGAAAAGGGGCATCTATCTTGAGCTTTAAAAATTAACCTAATCCAGGGCTGGAGAGATGGCTCAGTGATTAAAAGCACTGGTTGCTCTTGCAGAGGACCTGGGATTGAGTCCCAGCATCCATGGTGGCTAACAACTGTTCGTAACTCCAGTTCCAGGGGAATCCAATGCCCTCCTCTGACCTCCAAAGGCATTGCAGGACATGGGTACACCTACCTATATGCAAACAATATATTCATACACATAAAATAAAAATAACAAATAAAATATTTTTTAATAAATTAACCTAATCCATAAGTCAAGGAAACTTTGTAAGCATAGTTAAGTGAGAACAAATGCATTCTTCCTTCAAATTTGGAAAAATAAAACAACTCTGGCTAGACGTTTTCAGTATCTAAATAGGTTTGATGGGGGAAATTGTGGAATCATAGAGTCTTGGTATATAAGAGGAACCCCAGATCATTCAGCCCAACATCCAATCCAGTCTTAACTCCACCCTCACCACATGTACCCTCACAAACAAGGCCACTTGTGATGGTTTCCAAAGCCTACTTGGTCTACTGAGGGTTGGGCAGCCCTGACTGGGTGTAGGTGTGATTCCTGTCCCTATGCTTCCTATGTCTCCTAGTGACCTCTCAGTATAAGCTTTGAAGTCTTAAAGACAGTAGAGACAGACAATTCAGAAGTGAGGTCACGTGGACACTTTCTTCTGTAGACTAAACATCTCCAGTTGCTCCACATACTTTGCCTCATTCAACAAATATGTCATAATCATGTCCTGTGTGACTCTCACTGTACTAGACAGGAGTTAGGAAGAGGTTAAAGTAATTTTCCAGGGCTGGGAAAGATAGTTCAGTGTGTAAAGTGCTTGTCATGCAAGTGAGGACCTGAGTTTGGATCCCAGAAGCCATGAAAGGCACTCATCTGCACCCCAAAGATGGGAGGCAGAGACAGGAGAGTTCCCAGAAGCTCATGGGCCAGTCAGTTTAACATACACAGCAGTGATCAAGAGACCCTGTCTTGAAGTGAGGCCAGGACTGATACCCAAGACTGTCCTGGCACAAATTTGTATACAGAGAGAGAAAGGGGAGGGGGAGGGAGAGAGAAAGAGAGAGAGAGAGAGAGAGAGAGAGAGAGAGGAGAGAATTTTTTGTAAAAAATAGCCTCCTTAATTCCTAATTCCGCTCCTAATTCTCATCCTCCACCAGAGAATTTCTCAGTGAAACAGTTCTCCTCACTTCACTCACACCTCACGGAACTCTGCACCGGTCTCTCTACATTACCAGTGAGAGCAATTGTACTTCACAGAGTCCAATGATAAGGCACTTTCAGGCCTAGCAAGTAACTGGCAGTGTAACTTTGGGATTCTCTTTTCAGCTCATCTTTATCATTTGAAGAATGAACCAGGGATCTGTTAGATTTGGGACCCAGAAACCTGATGCTCTAACATTCCCTTGCTTCAAGAATGTGCATCTTTCCATCTTCCCATGTTCAGAAGTGTTCGCTATGACCTCAGATACATGCTTTCTTCTATATGGTGCTGGGGGTCAAAGTCAGGGCCTTACATGCTAGGCAAGTGCTCTACCACTGAGGTGCAGTCCCAGCCCCTTCAGGTAGTCTTGATATCAATTTGGCCTTATGTCTCTTGGAACACAGAAACATGGCTTGCTTCACAAACTGTGATCCCTAGCTGGGAATTTGGGAGACAGACAGAGCCTCAGCCCTCCACAGAACTACTGGGTCAGAATTAGCAGTTTAGCAAGAGCTCCCCACATTAAAGTGAAGCAGCCCTGCTTCAAACCACGGTCTGTTCTTATTGCTCCTGACCTGGGAGATAAGTGGATCCTCTTCATCCATTGAAGTTTTCAAATCTTAGAAATCCATCCTCTCATTTTGTCAACAAAGCCTGACCCCACTTCCTGCTCTTCCCCTTAATCCTTGGAAATCGTCCTTTTGGTAAGACCAGCCTCACCACCTGCAGTTTCCGTCTCCCTCCTCACCCTGCCCTCCCCTACTCCTAGCTGTTCATATCCCTGAGGCCTTTTCAGCTACCAACCATGTGCTTTGGGGTCCCCATGCAGCTGCCTGCCCAGGCTCAGAAATCAGAAATACCTCAGACTCAGAAATCACCCCCAATGTTCCTCCTCAACCCAGAAAGTCTTCAAGGACCTCAGATGTCCCAGTTCATGGAGAGCTTAGGCCACCAGATCCCCTAGAGTTGGGAGGCCAGTCTGTGAAGACTTGGGCCACCCAAGTCTCTGAAAATGGACCCATTCATTTTTTCGACACTGGAATATAGGTCCTCTTTTAGACAAATGGCTTCCCCAAACTCTCTAAACCAGAAACAAGTTGACCTTCCAAGGGCAGAGGATGGAAAGGACCGGCATCCCTTGACAGCTGACAGAGGAGTCACCAAAGTCTCTCCCTTAGCTAGAGCATAGGACAAAGATTGAGGTACACACTGGTGGAGGCCTGGCCCTTTTAGGGTACAGAACCAGACCTGGGTGAGGCCTGCTGCTTTTAGCTGTTGCATTCATCTCTGAGGAGGCAATGATGCGTGGAGAGACCTCACGATTCACTGAGCATAGTCCACCAAGAAGAGTGTTACTCCCAAGCAGCTGGTGTGTTGTTGGAGGGGAAGTCAACCTGGAGAGTGTTCACTGTTCTGGACGTTATACTGAGCTCTCTAAGATCTCATTTAGCCCACACATTAGCTGAACTGTATAGAAATGATCATCTCAGGCCAGGCAAGATGGTGCATACCTGTAATCCCAGAATTCTAGAGGCTGAGGGAGAAGGATTGTCAAATTCAAGGCCAGGTTGGGTTACATAATGAGACCCTGGGAAGTGAGAGAGAGAGGAGACAGAGAGAGAGAGAGAGAGAGAGAGAGAGAGAGAGATATTACTGTCTCAGTTCTACAGATGGCAAAGTGCACCTCAGGGACATTAAGTATGCCAAAGTGACTGTGGCCTCTAAGGGGCACACCCATGCTCTGCTCTTCGACCCAAGCTGAGCTACTTACACTTTCCTGGGACATCTCTTAACTATTCTGAAGCCACCAGAGCCTCTGATATAACCCCAGCATCCGCTTCCAGAGCTTTCACTGTTCAACAGTCTCATACATTTTTGAGACTGGGCTTGGGATAGAGGGAAAGAGACCTCAAGTTTTCAAGTGTTATGGCAAAAACCCACAGTCACTCTGCAAA